AATTATACATACCTCTATTACTGTTCAGGTTAACTCACAATGCTTATATTTTTCTGCCGGAACTGTAATACTGATAATCCTCATTAACTGGGTGCCTCGTACCCTTCTTCACCTTGCTTCTTTTACTTGCAGAAGCTTGTGTCTCCCTTCTTATTCCTTTTTACCGTAAGAGTGGATAGGCATTCTTACCTTAGGGATCCTTATCAAAAAGCTTACACATCTTAGTATACACATGATCTGCTGAATACCTCTTATTTATCCATCATAAGCATGATGCAAAAATCGAGTTCCTCTGACTCAACTCTTTCACAGTTATATCTCTTACCAACCATCTTTTTGGATGTAGGTATCATCGTGCTATAAGTAAGATAGAATTTAGGAAATTGAGTTCTTACAACTGAGCTCTACCACACGATCTAGAGTAGGAAGAAAGAGTGACAGTCCTAAATGCCTCGTAGCCTCCTGCTTATAAGTGTGGTGCACGACGCACCCATAAACAAGAATCTACTAGACACGGCTTGTCGACTACCTAAGACATAACTGCTCTGATACCACTTTTTTCACGACCCAAACCTATGGGCCCCAACGGGAACCCGGTACCTTACTCAACCGAGTACCTACGTAACGTATTTTGAAGAAGCGATAACGTTCTCATCCATGCTTCATGTAGTCACCAACCTTGATTTTGTGCTCTTAAGAGATTTTTTATATAATTGGGTGTGGGCCCCACTTTCCTAATGACTAAGCCAAATATTCTTCTAATTGTGACACTAAAAATCATGACTTAAGAGTCACTTGGCTATCTTTGAAATGCTGCCACGTTTTTTTTGGCTCATCCTTATCCAACAATTAACCACTTAATTATTTATCCACAACTCCAATAATTAACCAATTACCCATATAATTAAGAATTATCCCGCTTTACTTAAAATACTACTCACTTTTAATATACTCTATACACCTTACTATTATGTGCATGTGGTACCTTGTATGGTACTAGTCCATAAATACCAGGCATTATAGCTCGGACCGTAATTTATCCCAATATGTCAAACTTTGAGGAAATTCATTTTCTTCGATTTGCTTAACCTCTCACTTTCACGAATTTACTTATCACTTGTTTGAAATAACATAATACTTATAACCTCAAAAATAATCTCATTCCCGAGCTTACGTCGATTAACTTACAACGAAACTTTAGCGTTCGAAAATGTGGGATACAACATCTCATTTTTGATCTTCCATTAATTTATTTATGGCGCACTTTCACGTACGAAAACATGGGGTGTAACAGAGATAATCCAAAGGATGATGGTTTCAAACGGTTTCGAAGAGGAAGGTTGCCAAAGTGAGATTTCACAACATACAAATGGAAATGCCCAACAAGCCCGATAGGCACAGCCATGAAGAGCAGAGATTGAATGAAACTCAACTCCAGAACCATCAAGCAGCAAACCAAGATCAGAGAGCTAAGGCAAGAACTGGCATTGTTATCAATGAACCAACCGAGGTGCAGAAGATCCCCATGATGGAAGAGGTGCCAGGTAAAGGTAAAAAGAAGCTGGATGATAAAACCACTCGCAACAACAACCAGAAGATTGGACAAAACATCAACAAGAAGAAGAGGTTCAGAGTTAGAAAAAAGAACCAAAACAGCAATAGCAATGAAGTCCAATTCCAAAACACTATTCTGGAAAAGGGTCAACCAAGCAACAAAGGAGCAGATACAAAACACAAATCCTCAGAGCAAAAGGCTAGCAACAAGGAAGATACCATTACTCCCCTTGATAATGATCAAAACAGTAGACACTCTTTCCAGAGGAATTTTACCAATGATAAGGACACAACCAAATACACAGATGAAGAAGCCAACAGTAGAAAGGGCACAGAATCCAACAATAACAAGAATAATCAACTAATTGATCCAGGAAATGTACATAACACTTATCTTAAGCTTATCAGTGGTACCAGCTTGGAAGAGGATCAAGAGAGGGAAGATATGTACATTGCCAACAATATTCACATGGCAGAATCATCTTTCGAGGATGATGCGGAAGAGGATAGCACAGAAGATGGTAGCTATGAGGATGAAATGAGCACCAAAGAATCTGATGAGTTCGAAAGTGTTGATAGTGAAAGCTTTCAGAATGAGGAACAACCTATAAACCACATTATTGATGAACATGCTGCCCAACTAATTGAAACCTTCAACTCTAATGCTCTAGTTGAGGTAAATGTAAGCTCGGAAATAGATAAAATTGTGGAAAGAACTCATTTATCTCCTAGAGGTAGAGGAAGAGGCAGAAGTAATGCTAACAAGGGCAGACACAACTCAAGAGGAAGAGGTGGAAGACTCACTTATCAACAAGTTGTTATTATACCACAGGAGAAAAACCTCTCCAATTGATTTATGATGTTTAAGTCTTTATATTGGAATATTAGAAGTATCAGTTCTAGTGGTGCTTTTGATAGACTTAAGCAAATTATCTGACTTTAATATCTTCCTTTTATTGCTATTAGTGAACCTTTTCACAAAGCAGACCAACTGAATAAGTTCAGGGCTATGTTGGGCTATGGTAATGCTTATGCCAATATCAATAGCCAAATCTAGATCTTCTAGAATAATGGGTTGAATTGTAATGTGGTGCAGGAATCTGATCAGCAGTTTACTTGTAGCATTGATTGGATGGGAACAAACATCCTGGTTACTTCAATTTATGCAAAGTGTGAGGCTGGTTTGAGAGAACAACTATGGAGTAACCTAAGGGATGTCTCTCAAAATTACAAGTTGCCTTGGTATATTGCAGGTGACTTTAATTGTATTATTGATCCAAGTGAAAAATAGGGCGGTAACCTTCATGTAATGTCCAAAAGCATGCCTACGAAACACTTTATCATGGATTGTGATCTTATTGACCAGGGCTTCTCAGGTTCACAATTTACATGGTGCAATGGGTGGGCTCTTAACAAGAGAGTCTGGAAAAGGCTTGATAGGGTGCTGGTGAACCAAGACTGGATGAACAATTATGATTCTACTAGTTCAATCACTTGATCAGATCATTACATACAACAATGATTACAATAGATCCGAGCTTAACCGTACTAATGCTCTCCTTATCAGGGCCTATAAAACTAAAGAGCCTATATGGAAGCAAAAATCTGGGATCAAATGGTTTGTGGATGGGAAAGTTAATTCTAAATTCTTTCACTCCATTGTCAAGGGTAGGAGGAAGAGGTTATCTATCAAGAAGATCAGACTTAATGATGGCAATTGGATTGAAGGAGATGAACATATTGCCAATGAAGCTATATCCTTTTTTTCAGAACTAATTTACTAGAGAATATACTGACTCCAATTTCTCTATCCTTAATTGTATTCCTAAAGTAATCAATGAAATGGAAAATGCATATCTCACAGCTAATCCTACTATGGAGGAATTAAAAGCCGTTGTATTCTCTTTGAGCCCATACAGTGCCCTCGGACCAGATAAGCTTTCTGGGAAATTTTATCATTCCTATTGGGATATTATTGAGGAGGACCTATTACTAATGGTTATTGACTTCTTTGCAGGTAACCAAATTCCAAAGGCCATTACCCATACCTGCCTGATCCTCATTCCTAAAGTGGATAACCCTCAAGCTTTCAATGAATTAAGGCATATTAGCCTTAACAACTTCTCCTGTAAGATTATCTCTAGCCTAGTTTACCAAAGACTAAGCCTCCTCATGAACAAGCTGATCTCTCCTTATCAAACAGGTTTTATCAAGGGGAGATCCAAAACTGAAAGTATCATGATGACTCAGGATATGGTCCATAATATTACAAAGCCCTCCATCCATGGGAATGTGGTTTTAAAAGTCGACATGACTAAAGCATATGACAGAGTCTCATGGGAATACTTGTGTAATATTATGAGGCATTTTGGGTTCAACAAAACTTGGATTGATATTATCTAGAGGTTTATTTCTAGTGTCTGGTATTCTGTAAATATCAGTGAAAGTAGACATGGACTTTTCAATTCTACTAGGTGTTTAAGACAAAAGGATCCTCTATCTCCCTCTCTCTTTCTTATTGGGGCTAAACTTTTATCAATATTAATGGAATCCTTAAACAATCACGATTTTATCCCATTCTCGATAGATAATTGTAGTCCTATTATATCTCACCTATGTTATGCTGATGATACAATTTTGTTTTCCTCAGCTGAACCGGAATCCTTGAAGATGATGATGAACAAGATGGAGACTTATGAAAAGATCTCCGGGCAATTAGTAAATAAATCTAAATCTGGTTTCTATGTCAACTTCAAAGATGATGATCCAAGAATCAACCAAATCATGCAGATCACTAGTTACAATCACTGCCAGTTTCCAATGCAATATCTAGGATGTCCTATATACATAGGAAGAAAAAAAGTTGTTTACTTCAACAACATGGTGGCTAACATAGCAAAAAGACTCCAAGGCTAGCAAGGTAAATTTCTATCATACGGTGGCAAAGTTGTTCTTATTAAATCTGTTTTGCAGGCTATCCCACTCCATATTCTATCAGCAGTTCACCCTCCTAAGACGACATTCTACTAGATTGAGAAAACCATCTCTAACTTCTTCTGGGGTATGGATGGTAACAAAAATAAGAAGCGCTGGATTGCTTGGAAAGACATGAGTTTTCCAATCGAGGAAGGGAGAGTTGGCTTCAGATCTTTTACAGACAAATGTGATGCGTTCTCTGCTAAGATATGGTGGAAATTCAGAACTAAAAAATCTCTTCTTAAAGACTTTCTCGAAGCTAAGTATTGTAAAAGGTTTCATCCTGTTGCAAGAACGAAAGCTCCCGGCCAATCCCATACTTGGAGAAGAATGATGGACATCAAAGACAAGGTGGAACCTTATATTTCATGGAGGCTTGGAATGGGGAAATATCATTATGGTGGGACTCTTGGACCGACTTTGGACCTCTAGCTCATCTGGTTCAAAATAGCAGGACTCCTAAAAGAATTATGGTAAAGGAGTTCTACCTTCATGATGCTTGGAAGCAGAGTAAATTGATGAGAATTCTCCCTTTGCACGTGGTCAATTCTATCAAGGCCATCCTCTTCAACAACGATAGAGAAGACAGACCCATTTGGACCCCGGATCCTTCAGGGGATTTTACTTGTAAATCCGCATGGCGCACAGTGAGATCTAAGAAAGGAACTACTCTTACAGGTATGACTATTTGGTATAAAAAGCTTCCTTTTAAAGTCTCCGTTTTTATGTCGAGAGTCTTATTGGATCAGGTGGCAACTGACGTTGCTATTAAAAGATTTGGGGTGAATATTGCCTCCATACGTAACTGTTGCTTCACTAACCATTATGAGGAATCCACTGACCACCTGCTCAATGAGAGTCATATTGCCAACTTAGTATGGTCCTTCTTCTGTAACTCTTGTGGTATCAGATTGGTCCAAGGCCAGGTAAGACAGAGAGTTATGAGGTGGTGGTTGACTAAGCCCAAAAATGAAGTCCATAAGGCAGTGCTTCAATGCCTACCTTCAATCATATGCTAGCAAATTTGGAAGAACAGATGCTCAGCTAGGTTTGACGAAAAGCACATGTCTCATCGCTTCATTATCCAGCAAGTGATCAAGATGATAAATATGTTTATCCATACGAGTTTCCAAGATTTGCACCTGCCCAACATGTGGCATGATACTTACAGTAAAATTGAGAAGCTCTCTCTTGCTATTCATTGTCAAATCTTTTATTGGCATAAACCTCCAACAGGCTGGGTTAAACTCAATATTGATGGTTGCAGCAAAGGTAATCCAGGTTCGGCAGGTGGTGGTGGTCTTATCAGAGATCACAATGGTGTGTTGATTGGTGCTTTTGCAGAATTCTACGGAGATTGTAGTTGCAATATTGCGGAAGCTAAAGCTATGAGGCGAGGCATCAAAATGTATATTACAAATGGCCTCACAAATGTTATAGTCGAATATGACTCGGCGATTATTCTTAACTTGATCAAAAGAACCAGGAAACCACCCTGGAGATTCAATAATAATATTGAGCAGATTCAAACCATGACCAAGCATCGTAACTTTGTCTTTTGTCACACCTTGAGAGAAGGAAACAACTCTGCTGACAAGCTTGCTAACTTGGGTGAAGAATCCAAAATTGTTTCTATCTTCAATGAGGTTGTCTCATTACCATTGAATGTTAGAGCTTCAATGAAGTTAGAAGTTGATGGGATCCCTAACTTCAGATTCAGACAGAAGAAAAACAAGTTCGTTATCAATGACAGCACCTACCAATAAGTTCCTCTCTAGCACCTTTCTGTACATAGTATCCATGGGTGCTGCTACAAACTCCCGGAGGAAGCACAACCTTCTTCTTACCCATGCTAAATTATTTTGTTCAATCATGTACCATAGGTTGAGTCCAATTACCTATCACACTATCCTCGAGGCCAAGGCCTATGTCCTCCTCTGTGTAATTATGGTTTTTGATATATATATATATATATATATATATATATATATATATATATATATATATATATATATATATATATATATATATATTCATGCCTCAACTACTGCATCATGATGATGGAATTATTAAAAAAAAAAAAACTAAAAGTTATTACAGTCAGACCTCTCTATAATAGTATCCTTATAAAAACCATTCACTATAAAAGTTAAGTTTTGTCGGAACCGATTTTAACATCATGTTATAATATATGTTCTTTATAACAACATTTTACTATAGCAGCCAAAAAATATCGAAACAAACAAGGATGTTATAGAGAGTTTTGACTGTACTCTTTTTGCAGTATCTAATTCTACCTACTTTTGTATTTTCATGAAAAGACTTGATAGTAATCTCCTTCCTCAGAAAGGTAAAGAAAGTATCATATTAAGCACATAAATCCAACTGGATTCTGCACCTATTTCATTTCCACGCTGTTCAAAGCTAAGGATGGCTACGCTGTTCAAAGCTAAGGATGGCTTAGTGGTAAAAGCATAGGAGTCTCCAGTTGTGGCAAAATGAATAAAAAAATAATTATTAATCCGTATTACCCACTAAAAAATAAATTGAATAATAAATTTTTCAAAAATGAATGAAATATGAATAAAATCTATATTATTCACTTAAAAAAAAATAACCAATAGATAACTAATAGGTTTAACTTTACATCTATAAAGACTCAAACTGAGGTTTCTCAAGTCAGCGAGACTAGAAATTCCCCCAAAGTGATCATATTCAAGAAGTCATGAATAATATTAATCCACTGGTTAACCCATTTTCTATAGGTATTAAATGAGTTGGATCGTATAATTTAACCGTTCTTACATTATCCGTTTTGACTCATCCATATCTGACCCGACCTACACGTTTGCCACCCCTAGTATGAGCTCATCTACTCCAATCATAGTAAGCAAGATCATCAACAGTCGTGCTGGTGGACCGTAACAAGTTGCAGAATGAATTACTCAACCAGCGGATGATGCACCAAAAGATTGCTACCGGCAAAAGACAAACAATTAAGGCAGAACAACCAAAAGATTGCAATCGGAGGAACAACCAATATTGAAGATTTGGCATTCAAAAGTTAATCCAAACAAAACTTCTAGTGCGGAAAAGATCTCTACTAAAATAATAGTAACAAGTAACACTAACTAATAAGAACTCTCACGTACTCTAAGCCCACCATGAGATATCCCTATGAGAAGACAACTGAATTGCCCCAAAATCAAAGTCAAAATCAACAGTAAATTATGGCTCAACACCGAAATAAAAATACATAGACCACAATCCCAAAATGAGATTTTTTGTTTGCATAAGACTTATTTCTTCTTAGCATCACCAGCCTTGGTCTGCATCAAAGAAATAGCAACAAATCAATTTGGTGAAAAACACAACGACATAGAAAAGAGAACAAAGAACTCTAAAACAGTAGTGATGACACACCTTCTTTACCCCGCGGACCTTCTTGGCCCTGTTCTTCCTTTCCTTCATTTGTTTCCTAGACTTCTCAACCTTAGTGTCAAGCCCATTCTGCCATACAAAAGCATTGAATTAAGGATGAGAACCCAAGTAGAAAAGGTGAGCAAGGACATCCACTAACAGGCAAGAGCAAAAAATTCTGCATTTCAACAATGCAATATAATTGCACGTCAGCAGACTGTAAAATTCACATTCCACTTTTATTAGGGGGAAAAGGGCAAAGCACTAGGGGTTAAGGGATCACGATAGAACTGGATAAACACAATAAGCCATCCAAGCATTAAAAAACTGTAGTAACCAAGTCTGCTATCTTCCTATTCAATTTTCTACAAGCTGGTCACAACTTTTATGTAGTTCTCTTCAAATCATTTGTCAATATTAACTCGCAGTAAAAAAATCTTATTTGGTTTCACTAAATGAAGGATTTCAACAATATTTATTTCGCATGGATCCAACTCTACTACTTGAACTTTAAACCAGATACAGTAAATCACAATTATATAATTGAACACAGCAAAATAACAGTGAGATTTGATAGCAATAAATTTAGAAAGGTCTATTTTCCTACTTTGACAGGCAGAACCTGAAAGCTTCGGCGTACCCTAAGAATATAATGTATGGACAGCTCTAAAATGAATTTAAGTAAACTGTAAATGAAACCAGTCACCATGTGAAAACAGAAGTTAAAATGGTCATAGTACATGGGCAAGCTCAGTAGGCATCCTTAGATGTACGCAGTCATAATTCTGTTCTGTTTCTTAAACTGGTCAAAGAGTTTATCCACTAGAGGAAAAAACACAAGAAAGAGCAAAAAAGAATATTTTCATGTTAGGAATTTATCATCAACATTAAAACATACACAAAAAACATAATGAGCAAAGAAAATCTCAAGCACCCAAAATGTAAAAGAATAACTTACCCTGATGAGTCTATACTTGGGCTCGTACTTCTTGGCATTTTCAACAGAATCATAAATCAAACCAAATCCTGTTGATTTCCCACCCCCGAAATGTGTACGGAACTTGAAAACAAAAATAGCATTTGGGTCTTTCACCTCATACATCCTAGCCAACTTCTCCTTCAGCTCAGCCTTCACATAAGCAATAGGCATTAATCAGCCGCATCCCAAAAAGTCCTCTCAAACCATGAACTATAAAACCACACAAGAAGCATCAACAAAATCAAATACTTACCTTTGAGACATTGGCTCTTCCAGGATGAAGTACATCAATAATCTACAAAAGTAGAAATATTTTTTATCACTTTAAATCCAGAGAAAGCAGCAATACTAAGCACTACGACATTGTCTCAATCCAAAACTAGCTGGTTCGGCTATAAACCCTCACTATCCGTTCCTCTACAGTTGACCCCTTCCATTCAGGGGCATATGTAGTATATACGTGAAGGGACCCATAACTTTCAACCCGTAGCATAAATATATGTGAAAAATCTACTAAAATTGCAACAAATAGTAGACTTGAACCCATATCTTTAAAAATATAATAATTTCACTATAAGTCTTAACGGCTGAACCCATAGAGTTTAAATCCTCAATCCACCTCTGCATCCATTCTACTCCCTCCTCCCAGTTTATGCAATGGTGTTCCCTTTTTTCTCTGTCGTCCAAAAAATGACGCCTTATTTAGAAATGATTTTAACTTTAAACATTTCATTTTTACCATTGATAAGATTTTATAACCACACAAGTATCTATAGTTTTGCTTGTTTTAGACTACGAGTTTCAAAAGTGTTTCTTTCTTAAACTCTGAGCTCAGTCAACATCATCACATGACTTTGGACGGAGGGAGTAATAAATCAACAAGTTACTCTATATTTATTTACTGGCATACAAGTCACGACCCAACGCAAGCATATCACATGACTAAGCCCTATTTCCCACTAGTTGGTATAGCCTGTATGGATATACTATTCTAACATTTGATGATTAACTCATTGATTCCAACAGACAACAAATGCAAGATTATATTTTTACCGGATTTATACCTAATATCAGATCTTAAATTATTCAGATTAAGCAACGAGAAATTAATAGATAAGCGGGAAAAAATATTGGAAAGGCTTACGAATTGCTTCCTGGCGAGAAGCCTGTTGGTCATGAACTTGCGGGTACGAATAGTGACTGCCTTGTCCGCCATGGTTAGCTAGCTCTGTCTCTTAGGGCAAAGAGTGAGGCAGTAGCGATGTACGCAGTGAGAGAGAAAGGAGAAGATATCTAAAACCCTAGATTTTATATATATGATAGTATTGCCCTAACTTGGTTCTTGGGCCCGATAGTCCGGGTCGGTTCTTTTGGGTTTCAAATGCCCTAATTTGTGTCTTTTGGGATCTTTACACAAATAGCCGGCGGATGCATTATTTAGCTTTTTTAGCTGATATATATAAATAATACATGATTATACATGTATTATATATAAAAAATTTAATTTAAGTGGTTGGATAAATGACTATTTAAGTTAATTTTTCTTTTAAAAAATTAATTTTTTACTTCTTTTCGACGGATATTTATAGTTTTGCACCAATAGTTTCTGATAGTTCGATGATAAAAATATAGTTTTTGCAGAAATTATAACTTATCTTTGTAAGTAGTCCTAATTTTATCCATCAAATATAACTATGAGCATTTTACTTTCTTTAGATTCGTGGCGTCCTATTTGATCACCCCCATTTAACCTATATCCACTTTTTAAAAATATTTTAACCGGTACCTACTTTTTAAACAACTTAAGTCATCTTTCTCCTCCTCATCCTCCTCCTTCATTTTCTTCTTCTCCTTCTTCTTCTTCTTCTTCTTCTTCGGGTGACAATGATTTTGTATGGTGGTTGTGAATATATTTCAATGTAGTTTATGATGATTTACAATGGTAAGCTGTTATGACCTTTTATTTTTTACTATTGCTTAGGGTTTCTTTTTTTTTCTTAATTGTAAAATGGGTTCATTAGATTTATTGTTGTTTTGACAAATTGATGATTGGGGTTCGTTCCTGATGATATTTGGAGGCTATGTTTCAAATTTGAGCTTATTTGGAGTAGATTTAGGTATTAAATCGTATATTGGATTGTTATAATTCGAAGAACAAATTTTCATTTCTAGCCAATTTTCACTTCAGACTTATTGGCCTTAAGTGAATGAAAACGTTTGTTGCACTTCAGACTTTTTTGCCTTAATGCATCTGAAGTGCAATTTTTCACTTCAAACTTATTGGCCTTAAGGCCATCTCCAATGCTAGCACTATTTTTTTGCACCAAATTTCACACTAAAATGGTGTAACACCAAATTTACTCCAACCATTACACCATTTTTTACACCAAATCTTCTCTCTCTTCTATATTATATTATTATCTTCTATTTACTTTCATTTTTTATTTCCTTCAAACTAATACTATCTTTTTTCTTTTTTCCATATTCATTATATATAATTCACATTCACCATTTATATAATCATTTATTACAAAATTATTTTAAAGGATAAATCAACTAAAAGTGAAATCATTGATAAAAGATAATTAAATAAATATTACATCATAGTCAAATTTAATGTAAGTACCACTTAAATATTCAACTTTCGCTTCTATTCTCCCATAAATGCTCGATTAATGCATTACGAAGTGCGAAATGCGCATCTTTATCCTTAATTTTTTTGTGTCGAGCTAAGAATTGTTCAAATCGGAGATCTTCATCTACTGCCACTTCTACCGTAGGAGCTGGACATTCATGTGAATTTTATTGACGAACTTGAATTCCATTGACGATCCAAATCTTCGTGAATTTTTGCGACAAGAACAAAAACGAATAATCGATAAAAGAAGTCAACAATTTCAACAACCACAAGCACAACAATCTTCTACCCTGTTCTCTCAATATTTTGGTAATTTTGGTGCACCTGGAAATGACATAGGGGATTACTAAACCTATGCTTTATGTTTTTTAATGTAATTTCAATTTTAATGTATCCTCCTTTGATGTACTTTAATTATAATGTATTTTTATTTTATGTATTGTTAATTTTCTTTTTTAAATTTTAGTTTTCACTTTTCAATTTTAGCAACATTAGATATCTTACATTTGCATTTTTTATTTTTAAATAATGGTTATATTTCTTTTTATACAATTATAATAATAATAATAAAATTAACTTATAATTTTATTTAAATATAATATATAAACAAAAATTAATATATCAAAAAAATAGGATATAAAATTAAAATTATAAAGATCTTAATATAAAAATTAATTATATACACAATATATGATAAACTAAAAGTCCAAAAAAAATAAAAGAAGAATAAAATAATAAATAAATCAAAATTTAGGTGTGAATGTGCAACACTATTCAATGTCCTATAATGGTGCAAGATTTGGTGTTCTATTGGAGCAAAAAAAACACCAAAAAATGGTAGCACCCTTGGGAGATGCGCTTAGGGCACACTTCTTTCCAAGAGGATTTACCAATGATAAGGAACACAAACAAATACACAGAGAAGAAGCCAACAGTAGAAAAAGGCTACAGAATCCAACAATAACAAAAATAATCAACTAATTGATCCAGGAAATGTACATAACACTATTCTTAAGCGCTTATAGTGGCGGTACCAAGCTTGGGAAAAGAGGATCAAGAGAGGGAAGATATGTACATTGCCAACACAATATTCACAATGTGCAGAATCATCTTTCGAGGATGATGCGTAAGAGGATAGCACAGAAAGATGAGAAGCTATGAGGATGAATGAGCACCAAAAGAATCTGATGAGTTTCGAAAGTGTTTGATAGTGAAAGCTTTCAGAATGAGGAACAACCTATAAACCAACATTATTGGATGAACATGCTGCCCAACTAATTTGAAACCTTCATACTCTAATGCTCTAAGTTGAGGTAAATGTAAGCTCGGAAATAGAATAAATTGTGGAAAGAACTCATTTATCTCCTAGAGGTAGAGAAGAGGCAGAAGTAATGCTAAACCAAGGGGCAGACACCAACTCAAGAGGAAGAGGTGGAAGGGACTCACTTTATCAACAAGTTTGTTATTATACCACAGGAGAAAACCTCCTCCAATTGATTTATGATGTTTAAAGTCTTTATATTGGAATATTAGAAGTATCAGTTCTAGTGGTGCTTTTGATAGACTAAAGCCAAATTATCTGACTTAATATCTTCCTTTTATTGCTATTAGTGACCCTTTTCAACAAGCAGACCAACTGAATAGTTTCAGGGCTATGTTGGGCTATGGTAATGCTTATTGCAATATCAGTTAGCCAAATCTAGATCTTCTAGGGAATAATGGTTGAATTGTAATGTGGGTGCATGAATCTGATCAGCAAGTTTACTTGTAGCATTGATTGGAAGTGGGCAAAAACATCCTGGTTACTTCAATTTATGCAAAGGTTGAGGCTGGTTTGAGAGAAACAACTATTGGATAACCTAAGGGATGTCTCTCCAAAATTACAAGTTGGCCTTGGTATATTGCAGGTGACTTTAATTGTATTAATTGATCCAAGTTGAAAATAGGGGCGGTAACCTTATGTAATGTCCAAAAGCATGCCCTACGAAACACTTTATCATGGATTGTGATCTTATTGACCAGGGCTTCTCAAGGTTCACAATTTACATGTGCAATGGGTGGGCTCTTAACAAGAGAGTCTGGAAAAGGCTGATAGGGTGCTTGTGAACCAAGACTGAATGAACAATTATTTTGATTCTACTAGTTCAAATTCACCTTGAAAAAAAATCAGATCATTACATACACAATGATACAATAGATCCGAGCTTAACCGTACTAATGCTCTCACTTACTTCAGGGCCTATTAAAAACTAAAGAGCACTATATGGAAGCAAACAATCTGGGATCAAATGGTTTGTTGGATGGAAAGTAATTCTAAATTCTTTTCACTCCATTGTCAGGGTAGAGGAAGAGGTTAATCTATCAAGAAGATCAGACTTAATGAGGCAATTGGTGATTGAAGAGATTGAACATATGCAATGAAGCATATATCCTTTTTTTCAGAACTAATTTACTAGAGAAATACTGACTCCAATTTCTCTATCTTAATTGTATTCCTAAAGTAATCAAGAAAAGGAAATGCATATCTCACAGCTAATCCTTTACTATGGAGGAATTAAAAGCCGTATGTATTTCTCTTTGATCCCATACAGTTGCCCTCTGACCAGATAAGCTTTTCTGGGAAATTTTAATCATTCTATCCGGATTAAATTGGATTTTTTGAAAGGAGGACCTATTACTAATGGTTATTGACCTTCTTTGCAGGTAACAAATTCCAAAGGCCATTAACACCATACGCTGCCTGTATCCTCATTCCTAATAAGTGGATAACCCTTCCAAGCTTTCAATGAAATTAAGGCATATTAGCCTTAACAACTTCTCCTGTAAGATTAATCTCTAGCCAGTTTACCAAAGGACTAAGCCTCCTCATGAACAAAGGCTGATCTCTCCTTATCAAACAGGTTTTATCAAGGGGAAGGATCCAAAACTGAAAAGTATTATGATGGACTCAGGATATGGTCCATAATAATTACAAAAGCCCTCCATCCATGGGAATGTGGTTTTTAAAGTCTGACATGACTAAAGCATATGAACAGAATTCTCATGGTGAATACTTTGTGTAAATATTATGAGGCATTTTGGGTTCAACAAAAACTTGGATTGATATTATCTAGAGGTTATTTTTCTAGTGTCTGGTATTCTCTGTAAATAATCAGTAAAGTAGACATGGAACTTTTCAAATTCTACTAGTGTTTAAGACAAAAGGATCCTCTATCTCCCTCTTCTCTTTCTTATTGGGGCTAAACCTTTTATCATATTTAAATGGAATCCTTAAAAACAATCACGACTTTTATATCCCATTCTTGATAGATAATTGTAGTCCTATTATAATCTCACCTATGTTATTGCTGATGATACAATTTTTGTTTTCCTCAGCTGACCCGGCAATCCTTGAAAGATGGAGATGAACAAGATGGATGACCTTATGAAAAGATCTCCGCGGCAATTAGTAAATAAATCTAAATCGGTTTTCTATGTCAACTTTCAAAGATGAATGATCCAAGAATCAACCAAATTCATGCAGATCACTAGTTACAATATCACTGCCAGTTTCCAATGCAAATAATCTAGGATGTCCTATATACATAGGAAGAAAAAAAGTTGTTTACTTCAACAAACATTGGTGGCTAACATAGCAAAAAAGACTCCAAGGC